GTCCAATTCACAATCCGATACCATTTCCGTTGTTCCATTCCTATGGTCAAGTTACCAGTCATTGCACTTCTATTCAAAAGCCTTCTTAAACAACCAGGTCTTCAGCTTCCTGCGGAAGATCAACAGGGAGGGGGCTAACCTGATGTCTACGGGAAGGGTGTTCCACAGCCGAGGAGCCACCACCGAGAAGGCCCTATCTCTCGTCCCCGCCAGCCGTGCCTGAGACGCAGGCGGGATCGAGAGCAGGGCCTCCCCGGAAGATCTCAAAGTCCTCGTGGGCTCATAGGCCGAGAGGCGGTTAGTTAGGTATCTTGGGCCGGAACCGTTTAGGGCTTTATAGGCCAGTGCCAGCACCTTGAATTGAGCCCGGTAGCAGATCGGCAGCCAGTGGAGCTGGTACAGCAGGGTTGCATAAAGAACTATTCAAGGGTTGCATAAAGAACTTTGGGACTCTTAGATCCTTTTACTTCAACTTCAATAGCTGCATCCTCTGAAATCCTTGGGTTTGTAGTTTGGTGAGGCGCTATTGCTATCTGGCATACAATTTGACTACCGCTTCCTAAACTATTAATCTTAGGATTCCATAAGATGCAACCAAGGCAGTTAAAGTGAGATCAGATAGTTATATTTTGTCATGTGAAAATATTATGTAGCCCTGATGTAAAACCTTGGTGAAAGATTTCTTTTTCACAGTAGGGAAGGGAGTGTGGACTGCAGTGTGAAGTTCTGAGGATATATGGGATTGGATAGGGGCCTCCAATGGATATAACTGGAAGATGCATTCCATACCAGTTGAGATTTAGCTTTGATTTGACTGTGACATCAGTGGGTTGTTGTAGGTTTTTCGGGCTGCATGGCCATGTTCTAGAAGCATTCTCTCCTGACGTTTTCACCTCACAACCTCTGACGATGCCTGCCACAGATGCAGGTGAAACGTCAGGAGAGAATGTTTCTAAAACAAGACCATGCAACCCGAAAAACCTACAACAACCCAGTGATTCTGGCCATGAAAGCCTTTGACAATACATTGTGAATCACTTCAAATATTTGAACGGTAAATTTACCCATCTCCCTTATTTTAAGACCAACAGCTAAAACTTTCATCTCAGCCTGAACCCTTCCTAACTTTTCACCCTGATTCCAGATATGATTTTGTGGAAGTGCAAGATATTTCTGAAATCAGCATGCTGATCCGAGGACGGTGGTGTGGATACAAGGAAGCTCCTCCAAGAATAACATCAAAAACAAACCAATTGAAGATCACCTTCAAATCAGACGATTACTTAGTGGCTAAACCTGGATTCAAGATTTATTATTCCCTGGTGGTAAGTAACCTGCCCACTTTGTTGGAAAAAAGAGAAATTGCAGCAGGGAGGGTCTGGGGGAGAACTGAGGACAGATGGAGCAGCAGTTGCCTCTGAGCAAAGAAAAATTAACTGACCGTAAATATTTCCTCTCTGATAATATGAACCACAGATCAAGGCAGAATGACTGGTTCTTTTACTAAATGAGAACTTAAAGGGGGATCATAAACTAAAGCTCACCACCATTCACTTTAATAATGGGTTTTCAGAAATGTTATCACTTCCTGGGCTGAAGGGAATGGCTGAGGGCAGCACCAAAGACTTCAAAAAATAATATTAGGAACAGTTACTGTTTTAAAGTTCCATCTTGATTTGCATGCGAGGTCAGGGAGGGAAGAAAATGCCTTCAAGGTTTATAGCTCATGAATCTAAACAAGACACACACACGGGTCATATACAATAAAGGCTGCAGACAGAACAGAATGCCAGGGTGTTAATTTAAGCTCTGTAGCTTTGCTCCAATAAAGGAGGCATTGTGTGGGTACATGCTTATCATATTGATGAGAGTCAGGATTTTTCATCCTTTACAGCAGGCAACTTCCATATTGCAGCAGGCAAATTTTCATCCCTACAAGCCAAACCAGCATCTTGGCATGAAGTTGGAAGTGATGTAATGCCATTTCTGGTCTATGAGTTTGGCTAGTTTTCAACAATAAATCGTCTTGGAGAAATTTCCAGGGGATGGGAAAGCAACATCTCTGATTTTATCACATTGGGGAGGGGCACCTCAAAATCACCTCCAAAAAGTTCTGGGAGGTCTGAGGAGCTTTAGAGTCCCACAAAAGTTGAGTGCAGGCCACCCTTTCTCCACTCCTGTGTTAAAGGAGTCAAGATTTTGTACCAGATTCAGAAATTCTGTGAAGTAAGAGGAGACAGACTTATCCACATATTCATGTTGCAGTAATATGTTTATTGTGTGTGTATATACATGTGTGCATGTGCACTTTGAAACCACCTGTTGTCTCTGTGGAGTGTCAGAGGTAGAAGACATCACACATGTACTGTTTAGTTGCAACTTGAACAAGAAAGAGAGAAACCAATACCTTGGGCCATACATTATGCAAAAGACACGCTCGGATCCTTATATTAAAACTACATTTTATTGGCCTGCCAAAATGCTAAAATAACATACAAAACAGTCTTCAGTCCTGCCAGCACAAGGGTATAACCCATTGCACCACCAGAGGCTCTGTAGAGGTGATGCAGATGTTTGATCTGGATCAGGACCTTGTTAGCAGCTTGCTTATTTTAACTTTGATTGTAATGTGGATTGTATGCAGCGTGTTTGCGATGTATATGTACATTGTATTCCACCCTGCGTCCCCTGCGGGGTGAGAAAGGTGGAATATAAATACTGTAAATAAATAAATAAATCATGAATACATGAATGGAAGCTTGTAAGGATGTTGGAATTAGGCTTCCAAATATGGGGGGGGGGGGGGGAATAGTAGAGTCTTCCAAATGTTGTTGAATGGCAATTCCCAGAAGCTTTTGCCACCTTAACTAATGATGAAGAATACTAAGAATTGCAGCTCAGTAGCTTCTGGAGAACACTGCATTTCCAACCCCTGGAATAGATCAAACCATGAAAAGTTTAATTGGGGATTATGTAGCAACTATCTAATATTTTTTCTGTCTTTACAAAATAAATTTGTAAGAAAACAAAATGACTCCATTATGGTTGCTGTGAGAGTCACAGTTAACCATCTGATGTCTTGGCAGGGACACTACAATCATGATTCACCTTCCACTGTCCCAATTTTATCCTACTCTTTCCGCTTTATTCCTTTGTCTTCAGCTTACCTCAGTTGCTGCAAACTTAGTTCAAATCCAAAAAATAGTTTCTGTCCCATAAATTCAGCAGATGGGGGGGGGGGGAGAAGAGGTGGTAGAGTGGTTCCTTTCCTTGTCAGCTGATGCAAAACCAGTTTGCTTTCGTGAATTCCAGTGTGAATAACAAATAACAGCCAATATGAAAAAAAAATCGTGGTACATATTCCTCCAGAGAAACATATTTCTCAGTAAACATAGAAAGGCAACTTTTCATTTAGTCTTTTGTGGTTTCTCTGCTTCCAAAGTACTGTCAGCCTATGCAAGCTAGAGTGGTAAACGTTGAGTAAGATTTCCTGAGCATTTCAACCTGATGGATCTTGGGTGTGGCTTTAAGTGTCCCATGATACTAAAAAGGGGGGATGAGTTTCAGAAAATAGAGTAACCCTGTTAGACCCCTTTTTGGTGCTGAAAATTCTACATCTGGGCATTATTGCAGTCTGGAGATTTGAGCTTAAATGTCTGCTGGAATGATACAGTGATGCTGTTCCTGTGCAGTAAATTACCATACTGTATAAGCCTTTAATCTGAAGGCAATTTAGCAAAACAGCAATTTATGATGTTGCTTTCCCTGGAGTACCACAATGCATAAAAATTAAGCAATGCAGCAGCGTGTGATATTTCCAGAGGACCTCTCTTACAATTAGCCAGCTTTATGAGAAACTGTGTGCAGCTAATATGAGTCCCTGGGGGCATAGGAAAAACAAAATATAGCATTTCAGTAGAACAGCTTTTTTAGGGTGGAAAATTGATAAGCCTTGTTGCTGATCATTTGTCATGAAAGAATTTGCTGCCTCCTGGACAACCTTCTTTATGAAAGAGAGAACAATCCCAGCACGCTCTTAAACAGGATGTCCACTCTTGGATGTGAAATCTCCCAGCAGTCTGCACAAACTGAGACAGATGAAGGTAATTTTTTGTCAAGCTGGATATGACATCATTATGGCCAGATGTTATGGTTCATGATCTGAGGTTAGACAGATATCCCAAGAGAGAGCATATTTGAAGAGCTGGCTTCAGATTCAGTAGTTTCAAATTACCCTAGCATAAGATAATCCGAAATCATGCTAAATCATCCTTATATATGAGGGCTGGGAAATATATATCTGTCCAGATGTTATTGGATGACCTGCACTTACTATGCTAGTTAGAGTTGCTGGGAGTTGAAGTCTGAAAACATCTGGAGATCACCATCCTTTCTATAGAGTGACAAATGACTGGCAGGCATGTAGTGAGCTTTCAGTTGCCTTTAGTAGCATTATATGGGCCCATTATAAGTTTACATTACTTGTTCTGTTGTAAAGCAATGCTTTTGGGTTGGAAAGATTAGCCATTGATTAAAAAAACGTTGCCCAGGGGATGCTCAACTGTATTTTCTCAGTTTTCGAGGAGACTCTTTCCATGTCCCCCTTGTTTAACATCTTTACTAATGATCAGCCACAGCCACCACTCACAAAGAGCTTTATATATGCTGATGACCTTGGCCTAACAACACAAGCAAAGACTTTGAAACAGTTGAAAACTTACTAATACTCTGAAAGATCTCTCCAGTTATTATAAAGATAACCACCTGAAGCCTAACCCTGCCAAGACACAAGTGTGTGCTTTCCACCTACGTAACCATGAAGCCAGCAGGAAATTTAAAGTTACCTGGGAAGGCCAAGAACTCGAACATTGTTCCCACCCTAAATATTTCAGTGTCTCTTTACATCAAATACTAACATTTAGGAAACATTTAGAAACACTGTATGAACACCAAGCACAAAGTAGCCGCATGGAATAACATCTTGCGAAAACTTACTGGCAGAACATGGGGTGCAGAACCAAAATGAATAGAAATATCAGCCCTGGCCTTGTCTTACTCAACTGCTGAATATGCCCTGTTTGGCACAAGTCTGTCCATGCAAAGCAGGTGAATATAGCACTGAATGAAACATGTCAAATAATCACAGGATGTCTCAAACCTACACCTGTTGATAAATCCTATAAGCTAGCTGGCATACCCCCCCTCCCCCGATGTGTGACAAGAAGTTGCTTCTGTGAGAGAAATAAAGTTGAACACTATGAAAGCCATCCATTGCATGCCTATCAGCCTCCTTCCAGTAGACTCAAATCAAGGGAAAGCTTCATTAGAACCATTAATGTTCCCCCAGCAAGAGTATCCCTCTGGGCAGCTAAGCCAGGAAATTCCAAATGAATGCCCCCCCCCCCCATGAGAGTCTGCTTCCAGGGGCAAACCAAGAATGGTCAACTTGAAAGTCCCTGAATAGACTCAGAAGTGGAGTGGGCAGATCAAAAGACAACTGGCAAAATGGTACGACCTAGAAGAATCTTCCATCCGCCTTGAGTGACTGGGGAGCAGAACAAACAACTCAGTATCTGTATGCTTGCCCACAATGCCATGCCTCATGCCCAGAGGAATAATTGTTTAAAGCCACAGGCAATGTGGTCACAGTTTCCCGTTTTGGCGCTAAAATTATTTAGCCACTTGTGCTACCTCTATATTATCAGTTCTATGCTTATTTATGCAATGCTTTTGACACAAAATAAATAAATAAATCATTGGTTCTAGTAAAGTAATAATCTTCATGCTAGCAAAACTGGATTTTCAATTTCAATTGAGCATTAGGTACAAACTATCAATTGACACCCAGTTAAAAACATTATTTAGAGTCCTTCTGCACAACCCAATTATAACCTTACAATTTCATGTTAACTGTCATGCCAACACCCCATGGAAACTTGGAGTTTGTAGTTGGTGAGGCCCCAGAGCCAACACTAGACTACTCATTGATTCCTACCCATCATCTAAAAGAAGGGTTGGCCTTGAATGCCCAATGCATTTTCCTTATATCCATGACAGTTGCAAAATTAGCAGTCTGGTCAGCATTCCTTTCTGCCATTCTTGCAACTACCATAAAGTAAGTGTCTCCCCTAGTATGGATAGCCTGTCTCAGAGAAGCTGTCATCACTTTCTGGATGCTGAGTAGAATCTATGTAATAAATCACATTTGATTTTATTGCATCAGAGAATCAAATAACGTTTGCATAATTCAGAATTTGGCATAGTGTACTGCAGTGTAATTTTTATTTTTGACAGAGCACAGAAAGGTGTTTTTAAATAGTGCCTG